TGTACCCAGACATGGTGTCTTAGCCAACCTTTCTCTTCAACTCCAAGTCCCCATAATAAAACCTTTACCATTTAATTTCAAGTTTATGTCTACAGCTTGAGTGTTCTCAACTGTCCTATAAAATACAAAAATACATGTTTTTACAAATAACAACAACAAAAAAGAAACATAGTATAACAAGGACACTATTTCCTGAAGGAACCATTTGATAACAAGAAAATTGCCACTGGCATTAATTTGCGTATGATGATTCAGTGTGACACATGCTTTATGAGTTACACTGGCTGGCAGCTTTAACATAACACTACTTAGGGCTTGAAATACATTAGGTAGAGTTAAGTGTCATTTTATCTATCAATCACTTTCACTTAAGGAAACCCTGTTAAGTGTCATTTTATCTATCAATCACTTTCACTTAAGGAAACCCTGTAAACCATGCTATGATTTGGATATGGAATGTCCCCAAAGGCTCATATGTTGAAGGTTTAGGCCCCAATGCAGCAATGGTCAGAGCTGGGGCTTTTAGGAGGTGACTGACTCCTGTGGACACTGACCTCATCAAAGGATTATCCATCCCAGCAGAATGGACTATGGAGAGGTAGTGGAAACTATAGGAGGTGGGACCTAATTGAAGGAATTTTATCTTTTGGTGTCTTGTCCCCAGGCTCCTCTCCTCCCCTTCTCTGTCTCTCTGTCTCTGTCTGCTCCCTACACACACACACACACACATTTCTTGGCTGCCATGAAGCAGCTTTCCTCCATGATATTCTGCCTCTTCTTAGGCCCAAAGCAAAGGAGCCAGCTGACCATGGACTGAAACCTCTGAATTGTGAGCCAAAGTAAATCTTTTCTCCTTTAAGTTGTTTTGCTCAGGTATTTTAGTCACCTTAACAAAAAGTTGTTTAACACAACTAAGAACCATGCTCTGTTCTTATTCAAATATTTTACCTAAAGGTTTCAGATATTCTCTTTTGTATATTGAAAACTGTTTTCCATTACTTGATGTGAGAAGTGCAGAAGTGGATACCATACCACTTATATTTCAGAGTATTATCATTCTTTGATCAGGCACTGCAGAAGTAAAGTAGGTAACAAACAAACCTAATTTCCAATGGCTTTTTCTTACATTATAAGGTTAACTCCTGTATTTGGTTGAAGCTTTGACTCACATGTCTTCTTATTCTAGGACTCGGGCAGAAGGTCCAGCCTCTGCTGAGAACATGTTTTATCTCTTAGTGTAGGGAAAGAATAGGTACCCTAGTGAGAAACAGTAATTACTTTTTTTTATTTTTTTAGAAACTGGTGTTTATTTTCCATACCCTTATTTCCATTTTGCTTAAGTGTCTGAAGAAGAACAGCTCAAGTCCACTTGGTGGTGGTTCTTACCCACTTCATGTCCCAAACAGTAGGAGCTGTGGACTAGCTTGGTGCTCAGGTCTTCAGCAGAGAACTGCTGACTAGGCACAAAGGGCACCTTGCATGCCTCCAGACCAGTCTGTGACCTCAGGTTGGGCATCAGTGAACTCAGGAGCCGAAGTTGTCCGTGTACCATGTAATTCCTCCTTAGTCACAGCTTTTTCAGCAGTGGCTTGCTCGCCCTTTTCAATCTCTTCAGGATTTCTGTACAAGTACAGATCAGGCATGACCTCCCATGGGTGTTCATTGAGGATGTTGTCACATGTGAGCAGAACTTCTTGGGCCAGCATCCACCACATCAGACCACAGAGTCAGCACCCTTGTTATTGTGCAGAATGGCAATGTCCACAAAATATGGAGGAGAATCTGTCCATTCAGAGCAATGATAGGCAGGTTGACATAAGATGTTCTGTGAGAAGCTGGTGGTAGGCCCTAGAATCAGTAACTATCAGAATATGTGGATTCCACAAGGCTGTCTGGATCTGATTAGTGCAGTTCCAGGAGTGAAGCACCAATAGGAGTTGCAGTGGCAAACTCAGCACAGCCAGCGGGCCATTATTCCTGGAGGATACGACACTGATGTCAGCAGGTTTTCAATGGCAACAATGGCATAAGGTGCCAGTAAAAGCTTCTCCCAGGTCTTCTTCAGACTTATGAAGTATATGCCATTGATTTTCTTTTTTAGAATATATACTCTTCCATCTGGAAATGCAAGGAATTTGAGGATATCCTCCTCTTTCATTTGCAGGATGTCAAGGGCTCCAGACATTGTGACAGTGTCCCTTTAAGTTATAATGGGAATCAAGAGCAATGCCACCAGAGGGACCTCTTCCTGGGTAGCACAAAAAGACCAGCAATCATTCTTAAAGCTTCTACTCAGAATGATCCTACTGTCACCTCCACTTACATTTCAGTGGCTAAAGCAAGGTTTGAGATTATAATAAGACATTTGTTTAAAAGAGGGAAGGAAAAACCTATCATTAGGTCAGCCAAGCCTGAAAATGCCAAAAAGGGCAGTGCTGCAAGCCACATAGCAGTGGGTAGAGATGCCAGTTCCTCGAGAAAGCAAATATTTGGGAACAGTTTTTTAATGTATCAATGGCATTTAGTAGTCTTACCACTTATTTGTGTAAATAAAAATTCAGGTTTTTCCTTTTCTTCTTCAAGAGTTGTATTTTCTAACTATAGTTAACAGTGGGCAAGAATGTTTTCTCTGATATAAGGAGGTTGACTCATAGTGGGGTAGGGAGGGAGAGCATGGGAGGAATAGATGAATTCTAGATAGGGAAGAGGGGTGGGAGGGAAAGGGAGGTGGTAGGGGATTAGCAAGGATGGTGGAATGTGATGGTCATCATTATACAAAGTACATGTATGAAGACTTAAATAGGGTGTCAACATACTTTATATACAAACAGAGATACGAAAAATTGTGGAATATATGTGTATTAAGAATTGTAATGGAAAAAAAACAACAAAGTACATGTATAAAGACATAAATTGGCGTGAACATACTTTATATACAGAGATATGAAAAATTGTGCCCTATATGTGTAATAAGAATTGTAATGCTTTCCACGGCTGTCATGTATTTAAAAAAAAAAAAAACAGTGGGCAACATAGTACAATCCCCAGTACCCCCCACCAAAAAAAAAAAATCCTCTGATCAAAGAGCGAAGCAAAAGAAGTCATATTGTAGAGGGAAGCTCTTCTTAGAATAAACCAAATCAGGATGCCAAGGGCCTCTGCTTTGCTGCTTCTTCGTGTGTATGTGTGTGTGTGTGTGTGTGTATGTGTATTTGAGGGAGGATACTGGGGATTGAATCCAGGGGTGCTCTACCACTAAGCTATATCCCCAGTCCTTTTTATTTTTTATTTTAAGTTGCTTAGGACCTCACAAAATTGCTGAGGCTGGCCTTGAGCTTGCAATCCTCCTGCATCAGCCTCCCCAATTGCTAGGATTACAGGTGTGTACCACCATGACCAGCTGCTTTGCTTCTTACAACTCTTCATTTTGTCAGTTTCCCCAGGAGTGGTGTCCCAAACCTGTAGTAGGAATTTATAGCAGACTTGCTGGTAAACCAGAATAAGTTTGAATCAAACCTAGAACTATCAAGGGAATTCAAACATTCATCACATCCACACAGAGTACCATTTTCCCCGAAATGTATTCGAGAATTTTTTTTCATGTTTCTTGAATGTGGTCACATATTATCTTATTTAAAACAATTTGGTGAGATTTAAGAGACACATCAGTCTAACCAGCAGTACAAGGCATGCTAGAATTTAAGTCAGAATACTTGTGCTTCATTTCTGGATCTACAGTTAATTATTGGCTATGTGATTTTTTTAGAAATTATTTAACTTTTTTGAGTTAGTTTTCCCATTTGTAGAAATGGAGGATACTAATTTATTCTTTGTAGGATAGTTTTGAGGATTCAATGAGATGCTATAGATACTGGTACCCTGCTTGGTATCTGTTAAGTATTCAATAAATATTAGGTGAACCTGAACTCTGTAGGAAATTACTTTCAGAAAGCTATTATCTCCAGGAATGTTTAAAAAACTGATTCATATTAAGATGTTATAGAATATAAGATCTATGGCTACAAAATTGAACATCAAGTCTTCTATGAGTATTTACTACAAGGTTTTTTTCTTAAAAACCCAAATCATCAGGGATCTTCATTATTGGAATTAGTGGATGCCAACTGCATGAAATTCCAAAGTGTTTACTTAACCCAGGGTAAACCCTGCTCTGAGGAGAAGTAGATGCCAGGAAGAGATTTAACCATTAGGTAGCTCCCGTACACTGGGTGTAGCTGAAATGTACCTGCAGCAGGCACTTCAGTCCTCATCTTCGTTGACTGCATTCTTGAAAGGTGTATGGAAACTGAGCATTACTTTTGGGGATTGTCTACTCCTGAAGTAGATGTAATCCGCCCCAATCCTCTACTATGAACTGTTGCTTCAGCCCAACTCCACTGCCTGGTGTAGAATTTGAAGCTGGAATGGGAGGATGGGATGGGGCAGAAACTGCCTAGGAAGATAGTGGTCACAGCTGCGACATTATTTGCATGTCTAAGGATATTATTTGCATGTCTAAGGGAGACCACGCCCTTGAGATGACCAGACTTATGACCCTTTAGGGCCTCACCTTCTATTTGTTTTTTTTTTTTTTACTTTTCTATCAGTCTTTCATGACAAGTTTAAAGAACTGATGTCAAGTTCTTGCATTAGTAACCAAGGGTACAACAGAAGCCCTGCCATGAGTGCCTCCTTATGAAAGGTCAAAGTGAAAAGGGAATCTATTACCAAAAAAGCCTCTAGATGCGGTTTCTAGCTTCCAGAGGGTCGAGAGTTGGTACTTCCACGAAAGGAAAGCATTGTCTCACACCGGACTACGCTTTGGTATCCACAGCGGTTTCCAACGCTCTGACCCATTGTAAAGACCAGGGTCTAAGCAGAGCCTCGCCCTTCTCGCTTGAACTACAATTCCCAGGATGCTCTGCGAACCAGGAGTGCGCACGCGTGTCGCTGGCGGAGGGGAACCAGCCGCACCGACAGCGCGGTCGAGTTGGGGGAGCAGTGGGCGGGTGGGTCCGGCAACTCCCTCCGAGTCAAGCGCAGGCCGACTGGCGGCTGCAGAGAATACAACAGCGGCGTGCGGAGGCAGTTCCCGCGGGTCCGTGAAGGAGGTTGACAGCTCCAGCGGACGCCTGTCAGGTAAGCCTAGCCCGGTGCTTTCCAGGAAGTCCGTCTGCGGGCGCGGCAGGGAGTCGCACCGGCCATGGTGGCTGAAGGGGGAAAGGTTGTGTTTCCCAGTCGCCGGTCTCCAGTTTCCTTTCCTACGTACCCCTTTCGGGGAGCAGAGGGACGCTGGGGGCTGCTTCGAACCAACTGACCGCTGTAGGGTCCTGGGGTGCGCTGGGCGTCGCCCGCGGGTTGAGGCGCGCGAAGCCCGAGTAGCTGATGAATCACTCCGGGCTCGGCCTCCTCCGGTTGGGGACCTGCCCCTTCTCCCGCGGAGCCGTCGCTGGCCACTCGGTGACGCTCTTGAGCCCCACGGTGCTTCCCCCCCACCCCTCTCCATCCGGGAGAGACTTGGGGACTAGAAATTTAAAGGGTTTTCTCTCCAAGACTCCTTCAAAGACTTCTGCTTGTTGAAAGTAGGAGGAAAAACAAAAATCATACAGACTTGGGGCACACCCTTTTGTGATTGAAATCTGGCTCGTCTTGCATTCATAGTTTTGATCTGTTCTGTCTTAGAATAAATTCTTGGCTCTCGTGCAGCACAGCTGGGTCCGGCTGTGAAGTTCGTGTGCTGGTTTGTTTTGAGGACGTGACTGAAACGTTATATTTTTGCTTACAGAAGTTGGTGTATTTCTTCCGCAAGCCTGCATTCTGATTACAAACAGAAATGGGAAACAGCCGCAATGTCTTTTTTTCCTCCTAATTTCTTTCCTTTTTTTTTTTTTTAATGTTTAGTTAAAAATAGCGTTTCAACTTGCTCTTGTCTTTTCTTAAAATCAAAAGTCATGCAGTAAAACTTAGGAAGTCACATTTAAACAGGAAATAAACCTGTGGAGATTTAAATTACTTATGTGCAGTCTCCTTTGGATTGTAACGTTTTCGTGCAGCTCGTGTTTCTTATTCTGAGAACCCTTCAGATTAATTTTTTGGCAGATTAAATTGATTAATGAATTGGCCTATCAAAAATTTATATTAGTCTTGGAAAAAGTTTTGCCCCGGCTCACTTTTGTTAGTTTCTTCTTTCTAATCCCACTAACCTAGCCCTGCCAATACACGCATACTGGAGATTGAATCCAGGGGCATTCTACTACTAAGTTACATACCCAGCCTTTTTTTAGTTTCTATTTTGAGACTGGGTCTCACCAAATTGCCCAGGTTGATTTTGAACTTGATATCCTCCAGCCTCAGCCTTCCCAGTCTCTTATGGGCTTGTGCCACCTAGTTGGGAGCCTAAGCACCTTTTACCCTGTCACTTCTTTAAGAGCCCACAGTCATTAAAATAATTAGAATCCCCTAACAGTCCTTTCAGAGGAACAAAAAGGGAATTAAAATGTGAGTTCCTGTACATTCTAGCTTTTTTTGTTGTTGTTAATATTTATTTTTTAGTTGTAGTTAGACACAATACTTTTATTTTATTTATTTATTTTTATGTGGTTCTGAGTATCGAACCCAGGGCCTGGGTGCTAGGCAAGCGCTCTACTGCTGAGCCACAACCCCAAGCCCTTCTCGTAGCTTTCTTGCTTTAGCACTCCTCAGGATTTCTAGCTTGTTCTTCTTTATTTATTTATTTATTTTGGTACTAGGGTTTGAACCCAGGGTGCTCAACCACTGAGCTAACATCCCCACTCCACCCCCCTTTTTCTAAAAAAAAAAAAAATTATTTTGACAAAGGGTCTGGCCAAATTGTTTAGGGTTTTACTAAATTGCGGAGGCTGATTTTGGACTTATGATCCTCCCACCTCAGCCTCCCAGTCTGCTGGGATTACAGGCCTGCCCCACCACACCCAGCTTGTTCATCTTTAAAATGAGTTTGATGGTCCATATGACCCTACAATTATCCCCAGGTTTTTGTTTTTGTTTTATTATTATTTTTTAACCAAGAATTTAACCCACGAGCGCTTTACCATTGAGCTACATTCCCAGCCCTTTTTGTTTTTTACCTTGAGACTGGTCCTCACTAAGTTACTTAGGGCCTCACCAAATATTAGAGGATGACTTCAAACTTGCCATTATCCTGTCTTAGCCTCCTGAGCTGCTGAGGTTATAGGCATGCACCACCAAGTCCAGCCCATCCTGGCCTTTTTAGATTTTTTTAAAAATCATTTATTTTATTAATTCAGGAAACATTGGCCACATATATCATTCCAAGCCCTGTACTAGGCATGACAGAACAAAATTTGAGTTCTTGAGGATGCTATTAACCTACTGTTCATTTTCTTTAATCTTTGTGGTAGACCAATAGGCCCATTACTCTGTAATTCATAACTTCACCTGAAGTTAAATACATATAGGTCAAACTCCATTACAATTATTGTTTCGCTCTAAGCAAAGGTTTTTGGAGGGGCTGAGGATGTAACTCAGTTATACAACACATGAGGCCTTGGGTTTGATCCCAGAAATGCTAAAAAAAAAAAAAAAAAGATTCTTTCTACCTCTCATCTTTTGGCCCACTTAAATAAAACACAGATTGATTAAGAGAAAGGATCTTAATGGTATAGAGAGGTGTTTTCAAACTTGAGAATGCATACATCATCCAGGATCATGTACTATTAAAGTGGGACCCTAGAATCTGTGTATTTGATAGGTGATGCTGCTAAAGACCACTACAACTATCTTATATTTGATAAAGGGGCTAAAAGCATGCAATGGAGGAAGGATAGCATCTTCAACAAATGGTGCTGGGAAAACTGGAAATCCATATGCAACAAAATGAAACTGAATCCCTTTCTCTCGCCATGCACAAAAGTGAATTCAAAATGGATCAAGGAGCTTGATATCAAATCAGAGACACGCCGTCTGATAGAAGAAAAAGTTGGCTACGATCTACATTCGGTGGGGTCGGGCTCCAAATTCCTCAATAGGACACCCATAGCACAAAAGTTAATAACTAGAATCAACAAATGGGACTTACTCAAACTAAAAAGTTTTTTCTCAGCAAAAGAAACAATAAGAGAGGTAAATAGGGAGCCTACACCCTGGGAACAAATCTTTACTCCTCACACTTCAGATAGAGCCCTAATATCCAGAGTATACAAAGAACTCAAAAAATTAGACAATAAGAGAACAAACAACCCAATCAACAAATGGGCCAAGGACCTGAACAGACACTTCTCAGAGGAGGACATACAGTCAATCAACAAGTACATGAAAAAATGCTCACCATCTCTAGCTGTCAGAGAAATGCAAATCAAAACCACCCTAAGATACCATCTCACTCCAGTAAGATTGGCAGCTGTTATGAAGTCAAACAACAACAAGTGCTGGCGAGGATGTGGGGAAAAGGGTACACTTGTACATTGCTGGTGGGACTGCAGATTGGTGCAGCCAATTTGGAAAGCAGTATGGAGATTTCTTGGAAAGCTGGGAATGGAACCACCATTTGACCCAGCTATTCCCCTTCTTGGTCTATTCCCTAAAGACCTAAAAAGAGCATGCTACAGGGACACTGCTACATCGATGTTCATAGCAGCACAATTCACAATAGCAAGACTGTGGAACCAACCTAGATGCCCTTCAATAGACGAATGGATAAAAAAAATGTGGCATTTATACACAATGGAGTATTACTCTGCATTAAAAAGTGATAAAATCATAGAATTTGCAGGGAAATGGATGATGGCATTAGAGCAGATTATGCTAAGTGAAGCTAGCCAATCCCTAAAAAACAAATGCCAAATGTCTTCTTTGATATAAGCAGAGTAACTAAGATCAGAGTAGGGACGAAGAGCATGAGAAGAAGATTAACATTAAACAGGGATGAGAGGTGGGAGGGAAAGGGAGAGAGAAGGGAAATTGCATGGAAATGGATGAGACCCTCAGGGTTATACAGTGGAGGAGGTAGAGAGAGAGGTGGGGAGGGGGGAGGGTGGAGGATGGGAAAGGCAGCGGAGCACAACAGACACTAGTATGGCAATATGTAAATCAATGGATGTGTAACTGATGTGATTCTGCAATCTGTGTATGGGGTGAAGGTGGGAGTTCATAACCCACTTGAATCAAAGTGTGGAATATGATATGTCAAGAAATTTGTAATGTTTTGAACAACCAACAATTAAAAATTAAAAAAAAAAAGACCACATTTTGAATAATCAGAATGTTGAGATAATTTTAAAGATATTTTAAGGTGTTTATAATGATAATTTAAAGACTGGTGCTGATAATTATGATATTAGAAACATCCATGACTTTTCCAACTCAGTTTTTAAAAATTATTCACTCTGATATAGACAGTTGCCAGTGTAAAGTTTTGTTCTTCATTCTTTGTCCTTTTTCCTCCTCTTGCCCCACTTGCCTTCTTTCTGTATCCTCAGCTTTTTCCCCCTCTCCTTGTCTTGTACCTTCAGTTGTTTTAATTCATATTAACTCAGTACTTCACCAGTTCAACAACTGTGTTTTACCCCAATCTGTCAGACACTGTCTTTGGTGAATGTGTGTGTGTGTAATATGAATACATATATATTCATATTATATCACATATATAATATGATTCCTGTCTGGGAGCTTATTTTCTTTGGGGTTAGGCATGTGTGCTTGTTCATAGTCCAAAGCACTTGTAGGAGTTATTCCTAGGAAGTACAAAAGTATGGTAGGTGTTCATTCAGGAGAGATCTTTTCCAGTTGTGTGGGTGGGGAACAAATGAAGTCAGTCTTTTCCATTTAGTAATTGTCTCTCTATTCCTTCAGGCTACCTTCTCTATATACTGTTAGTGTACATGACATATCTACACAGAGTACAGTATAATTTTGTATATTTAATTTGGAACCTGAAATGAGCTGGATATATTAAAATCAATTAGATCTGAGCAAATTATAGGGAAGGTAAGAGGAAGTTGAGATAAAAATATATCTGGCAGAAACCAGTAAAAGAAGGGGACAGCTTCAATAAGCCAGGAGAGAAAAGGATTTTTAATAGGTTTCCCATGTCAGTTTGATGTACATGGCTATTGTTATTTAGGCTGTGTTATCATTATCTT